CAGAAGGACCAGTAGAAAGTACAAAGTCAGACCAGGACCAGCTACATAATTTGCAGGGTCTACTGCAAAATGAAAATGCAAGACTCTTAATTAAAAATATTATAAGAATTTCAAGATGGCAATAACAGAGCATTAAAGCAAGTATGAGATCCTCCTAAACAAGGGACTCTGTCTGACTGCACAGGTTACATACCCATACTTGGCCCTGGCTGAAGCTGACTTTTAAACAGCCTAAACTCTGTGTTTTCCAAACTGTTAGAGTAAAAAGACTTGCTGCTAAAGGTATTTAAGCACAATCTTTGACCAGTCATCGACTAACCACTAGGTGAAGCTGACTCAGAGTCAGACCCTACAAGGGCAGGCTTAAGAATAAATGCAAATGGCTAGCCGCAGTGGCTCACACCTGTAATCCCAGCACTTTGGGAGGCCTAGGTGGGCTGATCACAAGGTCAAGAGATTGAGACCATCCTGGTCAATATGGTGAAACCCCATCTCTGCTAAAAATATAAAAATTAGCCGGGCATGGTGGCACACACCTGTAGTCCCAGTTACTTGGGAGCCTGAGGCAGGAGAATTGCTTGAACCCGGGAGGCAGAGGTTGTAGTGAGCCGAGATTGTGCCACTGCACTCCAGCCTGGTGAAAGAGCAAGACTCTGTCTCAAGAAAAAAGAAAAAAGAAGAAAGTGCAAACAAGCAAGCAAAAACATAAAAAACTGGGCAGACACTCCAGAAGCTACACACTGTGTGGGAGATAGTGTCTACAAAAGTAACCCAAGAGAGTCACTGAACAAAGTCAGGACTAAGAATGATCCTAGAGGGAGGGAATCAGAAGCCAGAGCTGCAATATATTACCTAAAATATTTAATTTTCAACAACGACAAGATGCAAAGAAACAGAAAAGTGTGACCAATACCCAGTAAACAAGCAGTCAGTAGAAACTGACTTCAGATGTTGGTATTAACAGCAAATACTTGAAAGCATTAGAAACTTTGTTTAAAGGTTAAGGAAAAGTATGATGAAAATTTCTCATCAAGAAAAAAAAATCAATAAAAAGTCATAAGAATTAAAAAATAGAACACAAAAATAAGTAATAAGAACATATAAATTGTGGAGTTGAATAGTACCAAAATTAAAAAGTTCATTAGAGGGATCAAAAGCAAATGTGATGTGAATAGGAAGAGGAAAGAACTGGTAAAGTGGAAGACAGACCAGTAGTAACCATCTAATCTAAAGGAAAGAGAGAAAAGACAATGAAGAAAAGGAAACAACACTGGAAGAAGCAGATAACAAAAGGGCAGGAAAAATACTCAAAGAAATAGTGGCTCAAGCCATGTGAAAAGGTTTCATGAAAAACATTAATGTATACATCTAAGAAGGCCAACACACTCTATTGTAAATATAAGGAGATCCAGTCCTAGATACATCAGTGAAAGAAATTAAAAATCTAAATAAACAAAGAGAAATTCTATATTCATGTATTAGAAGTTCAATATCGTTAAGATAGCAATCCTCCCAAACTGAGCTATAGAGTGAATGTGACGCCTATCAAAATTGTAGCAGGCTTATCGCTTATCTAATTTTTGGAGAAATTAATGAGTTAATACTAAAACCTATATGGAAATGTAAAAAACGTAAGAATAGACAAAACAACTTGGAACAAGAAGAACAAGACTTGAGAACTTTCAGTAGCTGATTTCAAATTTTGTTACAAAATAATAAAGACAGTGTGGTAATAGCATAAGGATAAACATATATGTTAATGGAACAGAATAGAATGCCCAGAAAGGAACCCTTACATTTATGGTTGATTGGTTTTGACAAAGGTTTCAAGGCAATTCCATGGGGGAAAAGATAATCTTTTCAATGAATGGTACCGGAAAAGTTGGCGATCCATATGCTCCCAAAAAGAATGTATACTTTCACATCAAGTCATATGCAAACATTGGCTCAAAATAAATTATAGAGCTAATTGTAAGAGCTAAAATTATAAATCCTTAATAAAAACCTGAGAAATTTTTGTAACCATGGTTTAAGTAAAGATTTACTATGTATAATACTCAAAACATGATTTTTATGAAAACAATTGATAAATTGAATATCTTTAAAATGAAAAAAAGTTTGTACTTCAAAAAATATCTTTTTTTTTGAGATGGAGTTTCGCTCTTGTTACCCAGGCTGGAGTGCAATGGCGCAATCTTGGCTCACCGCAACCTCTGCCTCCTGGGTTCAGGCAATTCTCCTGCCTCAGCCTCCCGAGTAGCTGGGATTACAGGCACACACCACCGTGCCCAGCTAATTTTTTGCATTTTTAGTAGAGACGGGGTTTCACCATGTTGACCAGGATGGTCCCGATCTGCTGACCTCCTAATCCACCCGCCTCGGCCTCCCAAAGTGCTGGGATTACAGGCTTGAGCCACCGCGCCCGGCCCAAAAAATATCTTTAAGAAAATAAAAAGAGAAGCCACTGACAGGAAGAAAACATTTTCATGTACTTGAGACAGGAAGAAAATATTGTCATGTACTTGAGAAAGTACTTGCATCTAAAATATATAAAGAACTCTCAAAATTTAATTAAAAGACAAACAATTCAGGTAAAAACAGCCAAGAAATTTGAACAGACATTTTGCCAAAGAAGATATACAAATGGTTAATATTTACATGAAAAGATGCTCAACATCCTTAGTCATTAGGGAAATGCACATCAAAATCATTATATACCCCTAGAATGGTTATAATAAAAATATTGACATTACCAAGTGCTAGTGAGCGTATGGAGAAACTGGAAATCTCATGTATTTCTAGGGGGAATTAAACTGGAACAGCAACTTTGGAAAGCAATTTACAGTTTCTTAAATAGCTAAACCCATATGTATTATATTACTCAAGAATGTCACATTTAGGATCTACAAAAAGAAATGAAAACAGACTTCCACACAAAGATATGTATGTGAATGTTTGTGGCAGGATTATTCACAAAACTAGAGACAGCCCCAAATATTCATCAACTGGTGAACAGATGAACAAAATGTGATGATTGCATACAATGGATTGTTTTTCAGCCATAAAAACATATGATTTATAGATGTTATATCATTAGATCTCAAAAATGTTTTGCTAAGAAAAGAAGACAGATGCAAAAAAAGCATGTATTGTAAAATTATGAAAACATTTATAGAAAACTTTTGGGGTGATGGAAATGTGAAGTTGTGCTGTGGTGATGGTGGCAAAACTGTATAAGCTTACTAAAAATCACTGCAAGGTACACTTACAGTGGGTAAATTTTAGTAAAGTATCTGGCTATAAAGCTGTTAAAATCTGATAGGGCATTATAATAAAGAAAAATTACAAGCCCATCTTACCCATGACCATAGATGTAAAAATTCTACCCAGAGCATTAACAAACCAAATCCATCAATATATAAAAAAGGATACTATTTCACCACTAAGCTGTGTTCATTCCAGAAATGCAAGGATAGTTGAATGTTCAGATTTGAGCAATGCAGTTATCCCAACAGCTTCTGTTGGATTAATGACAAGGGCTCTGCTACCTGGCTCAATGTATGCTCACTCAGCTGGCTAACTTGTTACCTGTCTCCCCAGGTGGTTTTGTCACAGCCTGATGAATTCTTGCCCACTGTCTCCCACAACAAAAATAATGAGAACAGCAGGTAATACAGCAGTTAAAGAGTTTAATAATTGCAGTGCCAGCCAAGCAAGAAGAATGGGGGAAATTTTCTTAAATCCGTCTCCCCAAGAATTTGGAGGCTAGGGTTTCATAAGGGGACTTTGGCAGGCAGGGTGCTGGGACATTGAAACAATTGATTGGTAGAGGATGAAATCACAGGAGTGTCTAACATCGTCTTTACACAGTTGACTCAGTTGCCTGGAGGGCATCTCAGGACCAGGTGGCTTCTCTTGGTCTGCTGAAATGCTAACTCTGAGAAATAAGCTTAAAGACCAGTTCTATAGGTTTCCCAATACTGATGTGATCTATGGAAGTGGTTGGGGAAGTTATAAATCTTGTAACTTCCCAGCTGTGTGAGTCTGAGGCAGGAAGCAATTTATAAAAAATAAGCTAAGCAACGGCAGCAGCTTGTTTAGCTCTGCCTATTCTTTAGCAAAGTTTAAGCCACTATTATAATTTTAATCTTGTCTTATGAATACAGCTGCAATATCCTAACAAGTGGTATGGGTCAGTTTTTCTGGTCTCAAAGTTTAACTATAAATGAAATTTCTCTTATAGTTATCTTGGCTTCTGTACTAGAATAAGCAAAGCAAAACAAAACAATTCAGCCTGTGAAGTTAGAAGCAAGATGGAATCATTCCTGTTAGATTTTTCTCATTACTTTTAATGCTGCAAAAGCAGTTTCAGTTTAGAGGATCCAGCCCCCTGCCTTGAGTGTAGTTTCATCTGACGCATGGACTGGGCTGCTACCTGTGCCTGTACCATGAGGCACATGTTACACTTCTGAGTGAGTGGGACTCATCTGTAACTTGAAGCAGATGGGCTTTCCTACAGTAACTTTTCAGAGTAAGCAGGAGATACCCTTTCAGTCCATGTAATTGGTGGCCATTTCTATGGCTGGGCCAGTGCTGATAATACCATCGTCCATGATGGTAGTGAAAAGTCCATGAAACTCACTATACATAATTTTTTTTTTTTAGATGGAGTCTCACTCTGTTGGTCAGGCTGGAGTGCAGTAGTGTCATCTCGGCTCGCTGAAACCTCCACCTCCCAGGTTCAAGCAATTGTCCTGTCTCAGCTTCCTGAGTAGCTGGGACTACAGGCACACACCACCATGTCTGGCTAATTTTTGTATTTTTAGTAGCCACAGGGTTTCACCATATAGGTCAGGCTGGTCTTGAACTCCTGACCTCAGGTGATCCACCTGCCTCGGCCTCCTAAAGAGCTGAGATTACAGGTGTGAGCCACTGTGCCCAGCCACTATACATAATCTTTAAAGATGATTTCTATGGAGGAAATCCTTAATGTGGCCCCTTTTTTTGCACTGTTGGAGAGTATTTAATTCCATTATAGAGGAAAGGAAATAAATGGGATGGGTGAAAATTTATAAAAGATGTTAAATACACATAATGATTAATCTATCAGCTTGCAAAATACAAGCAGAGTTCTTGAAAAATGTTAGTTTAGAAAGCAACTAAGTGGGTAACCAGAAAGACATTTTCTACGTTAAAAAGTATGGAACAGACAAGAAAGTTACTTATGTGTAGAAAGGAAGGGAAATAACTTTCTTCAGATACAGATCATTGATATGGTTTGGCTGTGTTCCCACCCAAATCTCACCTTTGATTGTAATAATTCCCACATGTCATGGGGGTACCTGGTGAGTGGTACTTGAATCATGGGGGCGGGTTTTTCCTATGCTGTTCTTGTGATAGTGAATACGTGTCCCAAGACCTGATGGTTTTATAAGAAGAGTTCCCTTGCTCAAGCTCACTTGCCTGCCACCATGGAAGACTTCCCCTTGTTCTTCCTTTTTCTTCTGCCATGATCGTGAGGCCTCCCAGCCCTGTGGAACTGTGAGCCCATTAAACCTCTTTCCTTTATAAATTACCCAGTCTGGAGTATGCCTTTATTAGCAGCATGAGAACAGACTAATACAATCACGTCCCTACTAGGATGACAGATATGTCACCCTCGAATCGGCACCCATGCATGCCCGCACTGTGGTCCCGTTCTGGCCCACATTGCTCTGCTCAAGAAGTGCAGATAAAATCCTTGGATGTTCATCAGCCAAACTGCTGCCTTCCCTAGAGGTAGGCATACAGTGGCATTCAGGGATGCTCAAGTCTCTTATGTGAAATGGCACATACTTTCATATAACCTACTCACATCCTCCTGTATACTTTATTTTATTTTATTTATTAGAGACAAGGTGTTGCTCTGTTGCCCAGTCTAGAGCGCAGCGGTGTGAGCATAGTTCAGTGCAGCTTTGAATTCCTGGGCCCAAGTGATCCTCTTACAGCCTCCTGAGTAGCTGGGACTGTAGGTGTGCATTAACATGCCCAGCTAATTAAAATAAAATTTTTCATGTACAGTCAGGGTCTCGCTGTATTTCCCAGGATGGTTTTGAACTCCTTTGCTCAAGTGATCCTCCCTCCTTGGCCTCTCAAAGTGCTGGGATTACAGGTGTGAGCCACTGTGACCAGTCCAGGCGGCATGTATTTTAAATCATCTGTAGATTATTTATGATACCTAATACAATGGAAATACTATGTAAATAGTTGTTATACTATAGTTTCATATGTATTTGTTTTATTGTTGTACTGTTATTTTTTTTATTGTTTTTTTTTTTCTGAATATTTTGGAGCTGCCATTGGTCGAAGCCATGGTTGCAGAACCCATGGATATGAAGGACCCGTGGATATGAAGGACAGTTGTACTTGCCTCTGAGTCTCTCTCACTGATCCACTATGTTTTATTGGCTCAACTCTGCATGGACCTCAACTCAGGTCATTGTAACCACATCATCAACAGGGAAGGCTTCTGCAGGGAAAGAAGACAGGGAACATATGAATATAACGGGAATTCAGACCGTGTGCTTCTTCCACCTGCTTGCACTTTATCCTAAGTATACACCTATCCCAGCTCTTTCTCTCGGCTTTTTTCCTGTGTTTTAAGCACCTTATTTTGAACCCTAAGCCTTCCTGCCAGGTAAGAGCATTTGGAAGTTACCACTGGTGACAAGGTAATTTTCCACATGACATCCTGATTAGCTGCATTAAAACCATAAATGATCTTTGATTCTTCAGACACCCTTATTTAAACAAGTCAAAATAATTTTGAGGAAGCCAAGAAATGACCGAACCCTTGGAATTCAAAGAAGATAATTTTTGCTTCCAAAAGCAAAATAAGGACCGGAGAAGAAACAATGTTTCATGTGTTCACTGTTATGCATTTCACTGCTTTCTTCTTTATGGACTCATCCTTGTTCGTATTTTTTAAGTCTATCCATTTCCTATGTTTGGAATTATTTTAAATAGTGCCATGCCATGTTATGTTTCAAATGCTGTATTAACCCATGTTGTAAGAGTACTGAGATTCACTTAAAATTTAAAACTCTGCTTTCCTTTCCTCTTTTTCTTCTTTTCCTCTTTCCTTCCCTTCCCTCACTTCCTAAATAATCAGTCCTAAAGCCATTAGGTAGGGCACAGCAAGAGAGGTGGCCTTGCTGGCATTATGGGAAAGGAGTCCGCATCCAGACCCCAAGAGAGTTCTTGAATCTTATGCAAGAAGGAATTCGGGGCGAGACCATAGCGTAAGCGAAACAAGTTAATTAGAGAAGCAAAGAAACAAAAGAATAGCTACTCCATAGGCAGAGCAGTGGTATGGGCTGCTTGGCTGAGCATACTTACAGTTATTTCTTGACTATGTGCTAAATAAGGGGTGGATTATCATGAGTTTTCCTGGAAAAGAGCAGGCAATTTCTAGAATTGAAGATTCTTCTCCCTTTTAGACCACACAGGGTAATTTCCAGACATTGCCATGGCATTTGTAACCTGTCATGGCACTGGTGGGAGTGTCTTTTTAGCATTCTAAGGAATTATAATTAGCATATAAGGAGCAGTGAGGATAGCCGGGTCACTTTCATTGCCATCTTGGTTTTGGTGGGATTTGGCTGGCTTCTTTATTGCATGTTGTTTTATCGGCAGGGTCTTTGTGACCCGTGTCTACTGCTGACCTCCTAGCTCATCCAGTGACTAAGAACACCTAACCTCCTGGGAATGCAGCCCACTAGGTCTCAGCCTTATTCTACTCAGACCCTATTCAAGATGGAGCCACTCTGCTTCAAATGCCTCGGCTTGTGGGGACCCATGGTGGCCCAGAATAGAGAGTCAGAGCCCAAGCTGGGAGAGAAGAATGTCCATGCTGGGATGGCCGGAGTAGAACATTAGAGACTTAACGAATTGATAACAGCACATGTGAAATTCAATTCTAGATTCACTGTAGCCATAAAAGTGACAGGCAGAACAACAAACCTCTAGGAAATAATATACAAGAATATTTTCTGACCATGGGGTAGGAAAAGTTCCTTTAAAAGGGCCACAAAAATCACAAAAGAGATTAAACATTAAAAATAAGGGCCTGTTTGAAGAGAAAAATTTTCTTAATTTTAAAAATTAAGATAAAATACCATTAAGAGAAAAAAGGCAGTTTTTCTCCTGTTTTCTGGCATACAACTCCTAAGATCTTTGGAATCTCCAAAGTGCTGTCTTTTTTTTTCCTGAGACAGAATCTCTCTGTCACTCAGGCTGGAGTGTAGTGGCGTGATCTCGACTCACTGGAACCTCCGCCTCCGGGGTTAAAGCAATTCTCCTGCCTCAGCCTTCTGAGTAGCTGGGATTACAAGCCTGCACAACCACATCTGACTAATTTTTTGTATTTTTAGTAGAGACAGGGTTTCACCACGTTAGCCAGGATGGTCTCAATCTCCTGACCTCAGCCTCCCAAAGTGCTGGGATTACAGGTGTGTGCCACTGCAGCTGGCCCAGTGCTGTCTTTTTGTATGCGAATGTTGACTGATAGCTTCAGGTGGGGCTGGTCACCTGAAGATGAAGTGATTAGGGGGTTGAGACTTTCAACGTGATCTCCCAACCTCAGAGGAAGGGAGGGGGCTGAAGGTCAGGGTGATCTGATCACAACAGTCAATGGTTTAATCAATCATTCCTACATAATGAAGCCTCCATAGAAACCCAAGAGGACAGGGTTTGGAGAACTCCCAGATAGATGGACACATGGAGGTTCCTGGAGGGAAGAGCCATGGGAGGGAAGTACCATGGGAGGGAAATGCCATACCCCTTCCTCCTTACCTCACCCTATGCATCTCTTCATCTGTATCCTTGGTAATATTGATATAGAAGATAGAAAGAAATTCTTTAGGCAGATGGGGCAAAAGAGTCCTTGATACGGTTTCCTTTTTAACAAAAAGCAGCCCCCAAATCATTTCTTTTCTAATGAAGAGCAGCCTGAAAAATCGAGCTGTAAACATATATAAGCAAGCTGGAACCTTGCTCAGGTGAATGCCAGCAGCTGTGCCAATAGAAAAGGGCTACCTGAGGGCCAGACGTGTTCAACATGGTGGCTCCATCTTCCCTTTTCTTAGTCACCATGTTTATAGTAAAGGAATAGTCCACATGGGTGGCCAGCTTCTTTGCATGTATACAAATGGCACACCTAGTCCTAACCAGTTTTTCCCACACTATGTAAATGACACACCTGGTCCAATCAATCTTTTTCACCCTCTGTAAATCAGACACCACCTCCTTAAGTTCATGTACAAACCTTCTGCATTTCACTCCAGAAGCAGCAACCCATTTTCCCCAGGACTTCTCCCTGTGCTGAGAGCTCTTCTCTTTCTTTTGCCTATTAAACTTCTGCTTTTAACCTCACTCTGGTGTGTCTGCATCCCAGTGTTCTGTGGCCATGAGAAAACAAATCTTGAGTTTTTACCCCAGACAGCGATACTGCTTCAACATCACTTACAATAAACCAGTAACTGTGTGTGTGTGTGTGTGTGTGTGTGTGTGTGTGAGAGAGAGAGAGAGAGAGAGAGAGAGAGAGAGAGAGAAAGAATGAGAATGAAAAGGCAATCAAACAAGTAAAAAGACATCTGTGATGAACAAATCAACAGAGGGCTTGTGAAAGAATATATGAATAGCTTCTATAAATCATAAGAAAGAGAAAGAGCAAAAAAATAAAACTGGATAAGTCATCTGAATACGTACTTCAAAAAAGAGCATATTTAAACATCCAATAATCACATGAAAAGATATTAAATCTCAATGGTAATTATGAAAATGTAAATTAAAACCACAAGTTACACCACTACCCATTTGGTCTGCATAGCCGAAATTTAAAAGTCTAACAATAGTAAGTTTATTGGCAAAGATGTGGAGAAAAGGAAATTTTCATGTGTTTAAATTGTTAAAACCACTTTGGAAAATGGTTTTAAAAAATATATATTAAAGTGAAAGATACCATGTATCCTATGACCAAAAAAATTCTCTCCTAAGCATTCCATCTAATATAAATGAGTCCTTATTGCATGCTGAAAGACATAAAGAAGGATGTTTCTTGATAGCATTACTCATACAATGTATGTCAACACTAAGGAAGTCATAACTAAAGTGTATAAAAAACACTTACAAGCCAATAAGAAAACAGCCAATAGAACTATAGATATAAAATACAGTCACTTTACAAAGGAAGATACTCAAATGACCAATAAACAGGTGCTAATTTCATGAATCATCAGAGAAACCACAGTAAACTGAAACCACTGTTCAATAACCCTGCACATCCATCCGAATAGTTAAAAACAAACAAACCGAACCCTCTGCCAATTGTAATGGTTGGCAAGGATATGGAGTAATTAGAACTCTCATATGTTGCTAGTGGGAGTTTAAACTTTTACAACATCGTTTGGCTGTTTTTACTAAAGTTCAGCATATGCCTATTCCATGACCTAATACTTCCACTGCTAGAGTATACACCTAAAAGAAATGTGAACACAGGCATCAGAAGACATTCATAGCAGCAGTATCTGTGACGGTCCTAAAATGAGACAACTCAAGTTCATAAACAAATAATTGTGATGCAATAATTCAGTGGAATGCTTTACAGAAACAACATTAACCAGCTAGTTCTACACACAAGCACTCGAATGAGCCTCACAAACCATGCTGAAAGATGTCCAGCACCAAGAAGGCATCACGCATGATTTCATCTGCATAAAGTCAAGCAAATAAGTAAAATGGAAATGGAGTGATTAGGAATGAAACTGCAGCTACACCAGATCGATCTGGTTCGACTTTTATGTAACAGAGTTGTGAGTTGCATTTCAGCTGCCATGCACCCTCAGGCATGCCAAGATGCCTTGACCATGCCAAGAACTTAGGTTCCACATAGGGGGAACCTAAGTGCTCAGGCCAGCAGAAGGGACTGAATTAAGAAGCGGACACTGCATGGCAGAATCCAGGATCCAATCAGATTGTGCTCTACCATCATCCCATGATGGAGCCAGTCAGATCATGCCTCCAAGCATCACCTCATTGCAAGATCCAATCAAATCACACCTCATTACCATATGCTTATAAATCCTGACCCAGCACACAGCTCAAAGGGGCACTGCTTTGGGAGCTGTCTCTGGTGTTCTCCTTACTTATTACAAGTAATGAAATCCTCATGCTAAATCCTCCTTAGTTGTGGTCCTCAGGTTGCCACCAGCTAAGTGACAAAACCTACTTTTTTGTAGGTGACAAAACTATGAAAAAAAGCAAAAAAGTGCTTATCATTGACAAAGGTTTTCTCCTTGGCCAAACTCTAGCCAGGCTCCTTGGAATGCTTTTGAGTAGAACTTGACATTGACCTATAAAAAGTGTAGATTCTCAACATAAATGATTTAGACTTAAACACTAATGTAGTTTCTGGCAGCTCGAGAATGCATCCCTTAGATGATCCTGGACCCCCTTAAGCAAACTACCTGAGGAACCTCAATGCTACTAAGTGAATTTACTGTTTTTTTCCAGCCAATACATGACCATAAGTCCCTGACCATACTTGCAGAGTATTTACTAAAAATGTCTTACGATTGTGAATTCTCCCTCTGTCCCTTTGGGATGTATACGTATCTCCTACAACTAGGAGTGTTTTTCACAAGGGTAGAAAAGCCATTCCTTTAAAAATGTAATCATCAGGAAGGAGATGGCCACTGCCTCCCAGTCACTACGGGAAGAGAGAGTCTAACTTTGATATTGCCACCTAGCACATGCAGCTGGCCTTATCAGCACTTATACTCACAAACCCTTTGTAATTTTTCTACTCCTTAATTCTATCAAGCCTCCACTCACCCACTTCCTATTCCCTCATCTCCCTGTAAAATGCCCAGCCACCTCTAGACAAATTAAAGTTGAGTTCGGTTCATATAGGATCCTCTTCTCTATTGCAAAAGTTACTACAGATTTAAATGGCCTTACCACCTTAACTAGTGTCTGGCTTTGTTTATATTTCACACCATAAAAATGGGGTGGGGGAGAGGGTAGAAAATAGTGATGGGAAGGTACAGAGGGAGCTTCTGAGTGCTGTCAACTAAGAGAGTCAAACTCTGTAAAATAGTTGAAGAGATTTATTCTGAGCCAAATGTGAGTGACCCATGGCTCATGACACAGCCCTCAGGAGATCTTGAGAACATGTGCCCCCTATGTGGTCAGGCAACAACTTGGTTTTGTACATTTTAGGGAGACATAAGGCATCAATCAAGACGTGCGATACACATTGGTTGGGTCTGGAAAGGCGGGACAACTGGAAACAGGGACTTTCAAGTCATAGGTGGATCCAAAGATTTTCTGATTATCAGTTGGTTGAAAGAATTATTACCAATAGAAAGGAATGTCTGGTTACTGTGATAAGGGATTGTGGAGACCAAGGTTTTATCATGCAGATGAAACCTCCAGGTAGCAGGCTTCAGAGAGAAAAGACTGAAAATATTTCTTACCAGACTTAAAGAGTCTGTTCTATTAGTAATTCCAAGAGAGAAGAGGATAATGAGGTGTGTTCAGCTCCCCCTTCCTATCATGGTCTGAACTAGTTCTTCAGGTTAACTTTGGAATGCTCTTGGCCAAGAAAAGGGGTCAATTCAGATGGTTGGGAGCCTTAGAATTTTATTTTTGGTTTACAGTGACGATGTTCTATTTCTCAATCCCAGTGTTGGTTATGCAAGTGGCCACTTTGTGCTAAGCCCTTCATCTGTCCATTTCTTCATTTGTCAACATTTCTGTAGGTGTGTGGTTGTACATAGTGTTGTAAAAATGTTGTAGAAGAGATAATTGGCTCTGCCTCTCCCCAGAGCTCAGATTCAACCAATTGTTTCCTAAGAGTATGAACAAAAAGTTCTGCTCATTACTAACTTCAGGATAAAAACTGCAGACTTGGGTATTGCTGATGATTCAGTGTAGGAAGAACATTTATTTTTATGTATTAGTGGCTTTTTCAGAAGCCACTTATATTAAATTTTAAACTGCGATATTGAATCTTCCTGCATACTTAAATGGTTTCTCTACCTTTCCTGAAGTGGGTGCATCATAACATTGTGTTATAGCATTATAGTCAGTGTATAGAAGCTCCTAGGGAATAATATCTTGATAAATCTTGGGCTTTGAAGGATATTACATCTTGCTGTCATTTAAAAAAAATTTTAATAAGCACTTATATGTTGTTTACTGTGTGCCAGGCATAAGTGTATATTACCTGTGTATTAACTCATTTAATCTTTAAAATAAGTCTATAATGTAGGGACAGTTTTATTGACAATGAAACCAAGGCTCAAAGAGGTTAAGCTATTAGCCCCAGATCACACAGCCAGGAAGTAGTTGAACTGGACTTTGAACCATGTAGTCTGACCTCAAAATTCATATTCTTAATCAGAATCCTATGCTTTACTTTGTAAATGGTAAATGAAAAATTTGACTGCATATGACAACAATAATAAGGCACTGTACCCCTTAAAACATATGTAGATTTAAAATAAACACTACAGACTAAGGACAAAAATGGACAATGGGAAGACCATGTATCGAACAGAACTGCCTGTGTCAACAGCCCAAGGAAACCAATCTATTATGTGTAGTAACCAGCCCAAGGATCGAGCGGAAAATCCACCAGTCAGACATATTGTTTCACTTCCTAGATTGGTGACTGCTATCTCCAGTAACCAGTCTAGGAAGTCAAACAATAACCTCTGTAAAAATTGGCCCCACATGGCCAGGATTTGATTAATAACTGTCAGCTTCCTTAATTTTTGTCCCCATTTCTAACTTGCGATCAACCAGAGAAAACAAGCTATGAATAGTCCTGCTCATCAGTTCCATAGGATGTCCCACTTCTAGTTAGCCTCCTCCAGCTCCCCCAGGCTAGCAGCCTCTGATCAGAGCACATCTGAAGCTCTCTCTCCCCCTATACTCCTCTGCCTGCCTTTGAATCTCTGCTGAACGGAAACCATGTTTTGCAAAATGATAACTGAGGAAATTATGACAGTGAAAGAGATCAGACCTAACCAACTCCACCTTGCTTCTAACCTTTAAGTTGTCCTTGTTCATTCCTGGGAGTAGATAAACTAACTTTCTCAGTTCATGCTTTGACTCTGAAACAAAACTGGCAATAGCTCTTTCCTGAAAAGACCTCCTTCTTGCCTGGGGACCAGTCTGCTTTGTAGAACTAACAAATTAGCTACAAGATTAGAAATTATGGTTTAGGGGTCATGCAGCCTCTTTCTCTAAGAGTCTGAATCTCCCCAAATTGCTCCTGGGAATAGCATCACTATTGTAAAACCTAAGATTAGTGCTTGAGGTATTTTGTAGACCCTGCCCTGGATGGTTCCACTGACACCACCCAGACTGGTAATCTGGCTCAACCAGTTCTGCCATCCCACCCAGGGATGGAAAAAAGCAAGAAAAACTCACTTTGAGCCCCTATGATTCCATCTTCACCCTGACCAATCAGCACTCCTGCCAAATTGTCTTTAAAAACTCTGATCCCTGGATGCTCAGGGATACTCAGATTTGAGTAATAATAAAACTCTGGTCTCTTGCACAGCCGGCTCTGCATAAATTACTCTTGCCATTGCAATTCCCCTGTCTTGATAAATCGGCTCTGTCGAGGCAGCGGGCAAGGGGAACTCACTGGGCGGTTACAGAACACAGGGATGCTGGCCGACTTCCTTGCTACAGCAAGATCTGAATAAATAGCCTTTGCCTGTTCTCATTTGGGTGGTCTTCATTTGTTTCTACAAGTGACAACAATGGTGTGACATCTGAAAGGGGAGTGGTTCTATATCGTAGGGGCACAGCCACCATCTGTGTCATTGAAATACATTTCTTGGTTGGGTGCACTGGCTCACGCCTGTAATCCCAGCACTTTGGGAAGCCAACGTGGGCAGATCACAAGTCAAGAGATGGAGACCAGCCTGGCCAACATGGCAAAATCCGTCTCTACTAAAAATACAAAAATCAGCCAGACGTGGTGGCACGCATCTGTAGTCCCAGCTACTAGGGAGGCTGAGGCAGGTGAAACACTTAAACCTGGGAGGCTGAGGTTGCAGTGAGCCAAGATCACACTGCTTCACTCCAGCCTGGCAACAGAGCGAGACTCCATCTCAAAAAAAAAAAAAAAAAAAAACATTTCTGAGTCACTAACTATACTAATCATGCTTTCACCTCTGTGGGCACATGATCTCAGCCATTATCTAACTGCTTCCACAAGTATGCTTCAAGTTTAAGGAATATTGTGAATTGAATCCATGGTAAGCATTCTTGGGTACCACATCAAATGCTTTGTTCTTCTTTAGTGATCCTCCTTTACCTGGATTCACTGACATTTCTCTTTCATAATTCATTCTCCTGCTGGTCCCTCTTTATACCCTCTTCTCCACATTTCAACCCTTTCCAAGCTTCTAGCCAATGTTCATTTCGCTGTTTTACTTCCAAGGGCAGTCTTCGTCCCTAGCACCAAACAAAAAATAAACTTTGGAAGAAGTTTCCAAAAATAGTTTTGGAATTTCCATCTGGGATATAGTATGCCTCAGGGCCATTAAAGAGGAAGTCTGGTCGTGATGGGTTCTGCAAAGATGAAGAAAGAAGACCTATGTGACTTTGAAAAGCTTTGGTCCGACTGTGAGTCTGTAGTCTCCCGATTAGACAGAATGAAGGATGGAGTCCCGGCATTTACCCATTAAAGCAATGACGGGTAGGTCTAATTTGTGGTGCCTCTAACTGATAGTTTGCATTTTAAGGTTAAGATACTTTATTGCTTCCAGATGGTCAGCTAACTTCCAGCCAGAAGAGCATTACTGCAGAGTTTAAGAATAGCTATGATGCAGAGAGAGATTTTAATTATCATGTAAAGATCTAATTAAAAAGACATACAGTAGTCAGCTTTTCACATGCTCAAGCCTATAAAAATCAGTAGTTTAAAAAATTACCTTAAGGAGGAAATTGGAAAATTATTCAATTTGGAGCAGAGACACTTGAAGAATTTCTCAAATTGGTGAACTGAATTAGGTTAACTGCCTGTTTCTAGGTATCTTGATTTTCATGCTGTTCCTTCTATCCTGTTTCATGGCACAGACTTGTGAAAGTTCCTCAAGTCTTTTTACTTCTTTGTTAGTTTATTTCTGGAAGGAATAAGGAAGATTCTTTTCAATCAATCAATCAATCAATCAAGCAAGCAAGCAAGCAAGCAAGCAAGCAAGTGATCAGTTTCTTGGGCTCTGAACTAACTCTGGCTTTAGATCCTATTTCTTCCATTTATTGCATGAAGTTGGGCAAAGTACATATGTCCGATGAGCCTCATTTTCATGATCTATAAAATTATAAGGTTTCTGGAGATTTCATAAGGCAATCAATAAAAGTTAGCTCTTGATATCTGCAGAGTTTTAGAACATGTGCCTGTTCACAAGTGAGGCCCAGGACTCTATGGAAGTCAGATGACTAGCAGGGAAGACTCTATGGAGAGATTCTCCTCTTGTGCCCTGTCTTCTCTGTAACAGCCTATTCCTGAAGCCTGAGCTCTGCAGCACAGGAATAGTTTGCAAGAAGAGCAGGGATGTTAGTAGGAGTTGTGGGACACTAAGTCCTGCTGGAGGCCAACTGGCCTCCTTGGAGTTAATGACTTAGAACCAGGAGGCTGCTGATGTGTGATACAGGGACCTTGAACAGAAAATGTTTTCCCACTTCCCTGCATGTAACAACAAGACTTTCCAATGCACTCCCTGTTTTCTATGTTTAGCACTTTAAGATAGTACTGGAGCAAAAAGCTGAAAATGGCCGACACAACTCAGCTATCCTTCCTCTTTCCCTCTGTAGCTTCCGGTCATCTTAAAACATCCTTGCCCTCCCCCCCACACTCCCCCTCCTTCCCCCTCTCCATCTGAACTTGATCCAGGGGGTTAATTTAATCAGAATAAACTCAAAGTTTTCAAATGAGTTAATTCCATTATTTTCCCTCCCTCCTTCCCTTCCCTTCCTTCCCTCCCTCCCTCCCTCCCTCCCTCCCTCCCTCCCTCCTTCCCTCCCTCCCTCCTTCCTTCCTTCCTTCCTTCCTTCCTTCCTCCCTCCCTCCCTCCCTCCCTCCCTCCCTCCCTCCCTCCCCTCCCACTCCCCTCTCTCTCTTTTTTAAAGAGATGGGGTCTCACTACATTGCTCAGGCTGGAATACAGTGGCTATTCTCAGGCACAATCATAGCTCACTGCAGCCTGAAACTGCTAGGCTCAAGCAATCCTCCCTCCTCAGCCTCCTGAGTAACTGGGACAACAGGTGCATGCCACTGTATCTTGATTGAAGCTGGTATTCCTGAAGCTTGGTCTCCTTTATAGCAATGTGCTTTGGCCAGGTGCTAGGAGAAGAGAAAATTTCCCTCCTGCAGCTCTGAGCTGGGAATCCTAGTTCATTTGGCATCAAAGGTTGTTCCCCTTGATAAGCATATAACCCAGCCTTACATCTGACCCACAACCTGTGGAATCCTTACACTTGTGTTTTCTAACGTCAGTTTTACCTTCAGTTGTTATTTGATTAAGGGGTGATTGATGAGACCGGGGAGGTAATTTTGAAAGAATGAGGCATGTTCTTCTTTCTTACAAATCAGTGGGTAACTGAACAGACACTCCGTATTCTACACTCAGTAGGATTAAAAAGGTGAATATTGGCCCAGGTCAAGGGAAGTTTGATTTGTCACTTGTGTGATGATGATAGCTTTGTCTAGGTCCTGATTGGCATTTAGGTGACCAATAACTCTTTGGAATATCATTTTTTTCTGTTCCTTCTTTCCTTCCTTCCTTTCTTCCTTCCTCCCTCCTCTCCTTCCTCCCTCTTTCCCTTCCCTCTCTCCTTCCCTGTTTCCTTCCTTCTTTTCTTCCTTCCTTTCTTCTCACCTGCCCGCCTGCCCCCCTGCCTACCTGCCTGCCTGCCTGCCATGTTCAGAAGTCAGACTTAAAAGAATGGGAAAAGGTTTCTAGGCCATACCTCTTTTTTCCCAGAAAAAAAGAAAGCACAGACCACTACCTAAATGTAGCAGATGTCAGCCACATCCAGAAGCCCAGGCCAGTTCACATAACTCTTGTGGACACTGAGGTTCTCCTAATTAGTATAACTAGTTCCGATAACTAAAATAGGTGGAGTCACTCCCTGCTGCCAGTTACAGAGGAGTGGGACTTGTGCCCAGAATGTATCAAGAGCTCTTATGATTCAATACAATAATAAATGATCTATTGAAAAATAGGAAAAAGATTTAAATAAATACTTCATAAAAGATCTGTGAATGGCCAGGCGCGGTGGCTCACACCTGTAATCCCAGCACTTTGGGAGGACAAGGTAGGCAGATCACGAGGTCAAGAGATCGAGACCATTCTGGTCAACATAGTGAAACCCCGTCTCTACTAAAAATACAAAAAATCAGCTGGGCACGGTGGTGCGTGCCTGTAATCCCAGCTACTCAGGAGGCTGAGGCAGGAGAATTGCCTGAACCCAGGAGGCGGAGGTTGCAGTGAGCCGAGATCACACCATTGCACTCCAGCCTGGGTAACAAGAGCGAAACTCCGTCTCAAAAAAAAAAAAGATCTGTGAATGACCTACAGGCACATAAGAAGTTACCTTCCATAATTTATTATCAGGGAAAATGCAAACTAGAACCAAAATGAGAAACCATTTCCTACTCACTAAATGGCTAACATGAAAAAGACTGATTTTACTAAGTACTGGAGAAGGGATAGAAGAGCTGAATTTCTGATGTGTCGCTGATGGGAACACAGCAACTCTGGAAACCAGATTAGGAGTTTCTTATGAACTTAAACATAAAGGTACCATATGTTCTAGCAGTTCTACTCACATCACTGCACTCCAGCCTGGATGACAAAGGAGACTCTGTCTCTAAAAAAACGAATTTAAAATCCAAACCAAAAACACAACCCCAATTCTTTTAAACACTTCTGAATGGGCTGAGGAATTACTATGGACTTGTAGCCAAAACTCATAGCAGGAAGGAACTTCACTGAGCCAAATGAGAAATTTTCATGGTTTCTTCATGAAGAATTTCTCTCTCTCTCTCTCTCTTTTTCTCCAGAGGAATTTCCGATATATAGTGGCTTACACACAGCTGTGTTTCTCCAACCATAATTGTGGTCTGACTGGTAAAGACTGAAGGACAGATTATGGTTATGTGGTTCTATATAAAATGACATTGATCAGGTTGAGAGTCAAACTAAGTTACTCATAAGTGGCAGATGATAATGGAAGATTAGGGGTTTCTGGACTCAGAAAATGCCAACGAATATGCTTTCATAGGTCTATGCTGAGACAGGAGTATTCTAAGATTGGTGATGATATTATGGGTGTGAAGGCACAGGGCAGATATTTTGCTGTTGGCTTCCTGGATTCCCATAAAGAAAATCTTCCTGTGTGTTCTCTGCTGTGTAGAGCACAAGTATGTTTTCTCCTCCTAGGAGATTCAAATATTGCCTTTTTTCTTTTTATAGAAATAAAAGTCTGAATGTACAACGGCAGACACAAACCAAATTCCAGTGGGAATACTCCACATTTTTAGGCAGAAGAACATAAAACAAGGACCATGGTGGTCAGCCTTGTGATCCATCTAGTCAGAGACCAGTCATTTACTTCTTCAGTTCATGAATTCATGGGCTTATTCAGCCAACATTCATTGTGAAGCTACTGCATGCTCAGTGTTGAAGATACAGAATGTGGTTTCTTTGTTTGTTTTTGAGACACAGTTTCACTTTGTCTCTCAGGCTGGAGTGCAGTGGTGCTTACTCAGCTCACTGCAACCTCTGCTTCCTGGGTTCAAGCACCTCTCGTGCCTCAGCCTCCCAAGTAGCTGTGATTTAGGCACATGCCACCATACTCAGCTAATTTTTGTTTTTTTAAGTAGAGACAGGGTTTCACCATGTTGGCCAGGCTGGTCTCGAACTCCTGACCTCAAGCGATCTGCCCACCTCGGCCTCTCAAAATGCTGGGATTACAGGCATGGGCCACAGAGCCTGGCCCAGAATGTGGTTTCTGACTTTTAAGTCTCTCACAGCCCACTAGGTAACACAAATTAGAAACAGATAATTACAATGTAATATGACAATCTAGATAAGCATTCACAATGCTTTGAGAATGTAGACAGGGAGTAATTTACACAATCTAGGGAATTAGGAGAGAGTTTGCACACACAGACCCCCCCACACTGACCCACAAATGCACACGGAGATGCCAAAGTCCAGTTTATGAGAAATCATTTGCCTTCAACATTTCCTCAAACAATCCATGATGAACACATCATGCATGGATTTATTTAAACCAACATAAGGCGGAATAAAACAAGCAAAAGAAATAAGTAAAAGAGAAAAGTTTGCTTCGTGTGTCTCTAGTTCTGGGATAAAAAGGTAGGATAATCGTATTTATTTTATCCTACTAACGCATAAACCATCTTCTGGATATGAAAAAGAAAATAGCATGTTGGTATAATTAATTTGTTAATTCATCTTTTTTTTTTTTGGAGACAGAGTCTCATGTTGCCCAGCCTGGTGTGCACTGGTGAAATCTTGGCTCACTGCAACCTCTGCCTCCTGGGTTCAAGTGATTCTCCTGCCTCAGCCTCCCAAGTAGCTGGGTTTACAGGCACCAAGCACTACGTCTGGCTAATTTTTGTATTTTTAGTAGAGATGGGGTTTCACCATGTTGGCCAGGCTGGTTTTGAACTCCTGACCTCAGGTGATCCACCCACCTCTACCTCCCAAAATGCTGGGATTACAGGCATGAGCCACCACACCCAGCCATCTAATTTATTAATGTGTATGGATGTATTTATTGATTGCTATTATGCAATTATGTAGATACATTCCCCCCAAGTTCACAAGATACTTGGATTTGGTTACCTAATTCTTGATTTCCATTCTTCTAACTTTTTTTCCTTTGAGATACCTGTAACCTGCTTGTCCTCCTAGGCAAAAAAGATCAACGAGAAAAAATACTGCCAGGTATGGTGACTCATGCCTGTAATCCCAGCACTTTGGGAGGCTGAGGCAGGTGGATCACCTGAGGTTGGGAGTTCGAGACCAGCCTGACCAACATGGAGAAACTCCATCTTTACTAAAGATACAAAATTAGCTGGGTGTGGTGG